ATTTCTTCTTTGTATAACCTAATTATTTCTGAGATGGGGGGTCTCGATCCATTACCCAGGCTGATCTCAAACTGGTGGACTTAAGTGACTTCTGTCTCAGCCTCCTGAGTAGCAACACTTCTCAGTATGTGCCTGCCAGTCTTTCTTTCACCTTCTCTAGTTGGGAAACTTCACTTTTGAACTGTATCTTCTTCTGGTAATCTAGATGGAAAGTTTTTGCTTTCAGTACTTAGCAAAGTGGGCAGGCATGGTGGCACACACCTGTAATCCCAGCAATCAGGAGGCTGAGGCAGGAGGATCAGCTGTGAGTTCAAGACCAGCCTGGGCTATATGGTGAGTTCAAGACCAGTCTGAACTACATAGTGAGACCCTGTCTCAAAAAACAAAAGGAAAAAAAAACCCACAAAGACAAACAAAAATCACATATTCTCTTCTAGAAAAATGAAGGACCTGGCCACCAGTAGCCAGAGTCCTGCCAGAGAGCATCAGGATGGGCACAGCTCCCCCTTACTCTGTGGCCTTCCGCATCACCTCACTCTCCCAAAACTAATATTTCTTGGAGATATAAGGTATGATAGAAAGACAGTGTGAATATTTAAATTTTTAAGAAATTTATTATAGTGAAAGACAGAGTGCTGTTAATCACCCTCAAAATCCTTCCCCTTAACTCACACATCACTCTTGCCACTTTCTGAAGCCGCTCTGGAGTCCTCCTTCCTAAGTGCCTCCAGTTGTCCTGGCTGCCTTCATGTCCTGAACTGATTCAAATGCTGACCTTTAACAGTCATTCTGACTTTGAGAAAGAGTCCGAAGTTGAACAGTGCCAGATACAGTGAATTACAGGTCACAGCATCATGTTCACAGGAGCCTGCCTGCCAAGGACCAGCCCGACGCAGTACTGAGCAGGTAGTAATTAATATTAATAAAGTGGCACAAAAATAAATTGAGTCTGTCCCAGACCTACATGACGTGGGGCGAGACCCCTGGCTGGCTTAAAGACAGATTAATCTTTAAGCCACCAGCCAGAGCTGAGCCCAGCAAATAGTCTGAGAAGTTCTGGCGCCTCAAGGCAAGATAAGTCGGCAACTGAGGACTTGACTCACTGAGGACTTGACTCATTCTATCTAGCTCAGTGGCTGCAGTTAGCAATCAGGTTACTAGTTAACCCTGATCTGTTCCTGTGTGCTTTTCCAAAAATGCACTGTTCTTCAATTCCTTTTTTTTTTTTTTTTTTGTCTTTTTGAGACAGGGTCTCGCTATGCAGTTCAGGCTGGCCTTGAGCTCACTTTGTAGCCCAGGCTGGCCTCAAACTCGCAATTATTCTCCTGCCTCAGCCTCTTGAGTGCTGGGATTACAGGCATGCGCCACCACGCCCAGCTGTTCAATTCATGAACCTTGACATGTCAGCAGTTCACCCCCACCAATTCCTGCAGCCAATCAAGCTGTGCACCTAATAAAGGCCAAGGACACTGTGCTCATAGTCCTAGGCTGTCATTGGGCTTTAACCATTCTGGTGCCTCTTATAACTAAAATATATGTTCTGTCTGTGTTTTACTCTGTCATCGTACCTCTGAGCAAGAAATTGGTGGTCCTAGGCCAGGGCACTGACACCTGCCTTCTGTTGGATAGCACCTGGCAGCAGTAGTCACCATATTTTTGATCACGGCTTACAAAGACACTCATGAAACAGAACTTTTTGTTTGTAGGATGGGAAACTAATCTTTACAAGTAAAGCAACCAAAAGAGGCTAGACCTCCCATCCCATCAACATTTTTAAAGAGTAACATGCATACCATTAAAAATGCAAATAGTGCACAAAGTTACAAAATGGAAACTTAAGGCTGCATTTCTCTTTACTGCTTTCTCCAAGTGAACCACTGCTTATTATACTTCCTAATTTAAGAAAGCATAAATCTGCCTAAACACATATCTATCTTTAATTTTACAAAGGAAGCATGCAATTTACATTGTTTTATTTTTTCACTTATGATCTATTTCAGGAATCTTTCAATATTAGCATATGTATGTACATATCTACTGTTTAATATGGCATAGAAAATATTCCCTTGTATTCCATCATATCAAGAGACCCTAATTTATTCATTTACTTTTTAAATCAGGTTTTATTGGTACATTTTTTCTTTTTTCTTTTAGTACCAGGAATCAAACTTAGGACCCTGCACTTGCCAGGTAGGTGCTGTGCTGCTGAGCTACATCCCTGGCCCTATTGGTACATTTTTGATGTACATAATGATCACATTCATGATAGAATACCTGTACATGATATAACCTGGTTTTCTTTCCCATTCCCCTACCATCCCTTCAACCCCCTCCGCTCCCCATTTACAGGAAACTAATACTTTTTTATATTAACTTTTATTGTGGATTTTGGTACCTTCACAACTTGTTTGAAATAAATTAGGAAACTAATATTTTAAAATAATTTATTTTGTGAATAAATACTTCAGAGTATCATGAGAGAATGTTTCTGAAATATATAACCCAGATGTTATATCAAAATCAATAATTCATTCTAACATTATTTAATATCTAGTGCACATACACATTTCCCAAACTGTCTCAGAAATGTCTTCTTAAATTACTTTATTTAAAAATCTAGCCAGGCACGCATGCCTTTAATTCCATCACTCGGGGAGGCAGAGGCAGGAGGATCATCACTGGTGCAAGTTCCAGACCAGCCTGCGCTACAAAATGAGCTCAAGGCCAGCCTGAAACTGCATAGTGAGACCCTGTCTCGGAAAAAAAAAAAAAGTAAAATCTATACATTTCTTATCCAAGTTAAGGGAGAGGGAAGACTTAAGATTTGCTACCCAGTGAAAACTTGAAACTAAGTGGATACCTGGAGGACCATTATATGGTTCTTCTCCACACTGCAATATATGAAAATGCCCAGGGTAAAGAGTTAAAAGAAATTGTTGGGTTAGAATCCAAACAAAAGAAGGCCACAAAAGACAGTAATTGCAAAAGTAAATAATAGGCTTATACAAACACACAAAAATGCTACCTAACAAGTAATGTAAATTAAAGCTACAAATCTGTGATACCATTTTCTTCCATCAGACAAAGGTCAAAATGTGGCAATACACCACACTGGGGGAAGGGAGGTGTTAACATGGATAGTGGAAGAACAAATCAGTACTTCATAGGTTGTTTTGTTTTTGTTTTTTGAGACAGGGTCTTGCTATGTAGCCCAGGCTGGCCTTGAGCTCCCTTCAATCCTGCCTCACTCAGCTTCCTGGGTGCTAGGATTACAGGCATGTGTCACCATGCCCGGCTTTCTGAGGGTTACTTAGTTGACCTTTCCAAGTTATAAACACACATCCCTTGGCCCAGTAATACCACTTCTAGGAAATTATTCTACAGCTCTTCACTCATCCAACAAGTATCTTCTGCCACCTATGTGCCAGGTGCTGGCGATACAGGAGTGGAGAACAGCCCGCTGGTGTGTTCTTGTAGAAGAGTCACAGGCCCAGCAACGCTGCATGCAATTATAGCAATCATAATGTCAAGCAGGTGAACAGGCAAGCAGGCCGTGCTGCAAGGCTTTTCTGAGCCTGCAAGGTACCAGACAGGTCGGGAAGAGGCAACAAGATGAAACCCTTAGGGTGACACACAAATTTGGCCTTCCGTTCATATTCTGTTTTATTCCAACAGCGTTGGGTGTATCCAAAGGACATCACTCAAATGTTTCTGACACAGAACCAAAAAACAATCAGATCCTTTTACTACAGTACACTCTTTAGGTTGATGCCAGGGTAGCACTGTTTCCCCAAATATTACTGTGCACAGCAATTTGACTTTGCCATCTTATCCACCTTACCCTAAGCATGTTAATAAAATGTATCAGAGCCAATCATGAGATCTTAATTCAGACAGGTCTTTCCAAAGAGAACGGTTTCACAAAAGCTGCTGATCAGTTATTAATTTTATTCACACACAAAACCAACATTCCTCCCTTCACTCTTGGCACAGGAAAAATCACAGACTTACAGACCTCTATACTTTTTAATTTCACAGTGTTTAAGCACAGATGTTGAAGTTCTGATTTCTTTTACAGGCAATTTGGGCGTGATTTAAGATTTGCTACACAGCGAAAATAAGTATTTCACACTGAAGTGCCCTGTGTTGACAGAAGGCATTCAAACTGACCCCCAAAGAAAGGCCTCTGCCACGACAACTGAGAACATTACCTTCTAATTTCGTCAAACATCAGGAAATACCGACGCTTCATAATCACCATAAAGGATATGCTCTACGAACACCCAGAAGGGAAGAAATTTGTCCCTGTGAAGCACGCTCCTCTCTCGATTTTGAAATCAGGTTTACATAACCACGGATTCTTTTCTTTCTCCAAGAGAGGACGCAAAACCCGATCGACTTCAAGACTCCAGATTCCCAAGGAGACCGGCGCCCGCGCGCAGGCTGCTAAGCGCCAGGGCTCGGGCGCCGCCAGCCGGCCCGCGAAGCATCCTCCCCTCCATCCTCCCGTCCGCCCTCCCCCGGCGGGGACCAGCAGGTCACCCGCTCCCCAGGGTCGCGGTTCCGCGGGCGGGGACCTCTGACAGCTCCCGGGGACCGAAACCCGGCGCCAGGGAGCGGGCGGAGGACGGGAGCGCGGAGATCCGAGATCCGCGCCGGCTGCAGCGGGGACGAGGTCGGGCCAGGGACGGGCAGGGCCCCCGCGGCCGAGCAGCCCGATGGAGGGGCGGGGAGGGGGCCGGGGCCAGG